CATGGCTGAGTCCTTGTCTATGGGATAGGGTGGACTCCAGGAATGGCCCTGGGGATTTGCCATGTGACTAAAGCTGGTGTTGCCCTGCACTACAACACAACTGCTCAGCTGTCCAGACAACTGGTCACACTCTTCTCTGTGCTTCCCCAGGAACGAGGGAGAGAAAGTGGGCCTGGTGTGTTACAGAGGCACAGACAGCAGCGCAGCCTTAGGAGCGGGGAGGCTAAGCAGGACAGAAGCCGCCTGTCATGAGTGACTCTTTCATAGCCCTTCTCTTCTTCCCAGTCTCACCTATCCAACCTGAATGTTCACCCAGTGGAAAACTGTGCATACAGCTTGAGCCCAAGGGCTGGGAGCAATCAGGCAACTGGCCTAAAATCACTACAGCTGATGTCTGCTGAGTGCTCGCAGTGCCCAGGCACTGTTCTGAGCCCTTTGCATGTATCCACTCACTTAATACCCACCACAGCTCTGTGGGGATAGAAAATTGTCTTTATCTTGCAGACAAAGAAAATGAGGCACATTTTTGACAACTTGGTCTCGGCTAGTAACCGGGGATTTGAGCCCAGGCCATTTTGCTCCAGCATGCATATTCTTAACCATTACACAGGGCCAAAGATGAGCCATATCGCCTGAACTCCCAGAGTCCACCCTGGCTAATCCTTGGCCAGAGTCCACCAGACTCTGGACCTCATGTCTCCCAATGTCTAAAAACTCCTCTTTGTTGGCTGGGCACAGTAGCTCACACCTGTATTCCAGCACTTTGGGAGGCCAAGGCGGTTGGATAACTTGAGGTCAGGAGTTTGAAACCAGCCTGGCCAACATGATGTAACCCAATCTCTACTAAAAATACAAAAATTAGTTGGGCATGGTGGTGGGTGCCTATAATCCCAGCTACTCGAAAGGCTGAGGCAGGAGAATCGCTTGAACCCAGGAGGTGGAGGTTGCAGCGAGCCGAGATTGGGCCACTGCACTCCTGCCTGGGTGACAGAGTGAGATCCTGTCTTAAAACAACAACAACAAAAAACCCTCCTCTTTGTGCCCTTGTTCCAACCCTTGGAGCACTGATACTGTCTAGGGACTCCACGAGTGACACTGATGCTGTAGAGACATCTAGAACAAACCCCACCAGGTGCTGCCTCCTTATTTGTTTTCCATATTGACAACCTCTCTTGTATGGGCACAGATGGAGAAGGTGCTGGCCTCCATTTCTTCCATCTCAGGGCCTCCAGCACATACCAGCAGGGTTTCCTCCCTCATACCAACAGGGGTGGGTCTGACTAAGGACAGGAGCACGCCAGGAAGCGTGGGAAGACAGAAAGTGACGGCAACATTGCAGTGAGCTGACAAGGTGAAGCAGAGGGCGTGACGAGAGGATGACACAACTTCCCCTTTGCCAAAGGAAGGAGATCCCCTGCCCTGAGGTCAAGAGCCTGGGCCACCTCACGGGCTGCAGCTCCTTCTGCTCTGTCTCCCTGTGTGCCCTCCAAATGGCCCAGCCCTCCTGAGGGGTACAGCCCAGTACAGCCTGCAGCCTGGTGGAGTCATATGCTAGCTCATGGCTGACTGACTCCCAGAGAACAGAGAAGAATCTTTTCATTCTTACCACCTCCATCCCCTCCCATATTTGCCAACATTACTCTGGCAGACAGGCTGGCCCATCACCACGCCCCCCCCCTCTAACCCCAATCACCTCTGTCTCTATTCTGTGATTCTATGTGGTCATTGACCTCTGGGGATTAGGTTATTGGGCTCTAAGTCCAACCTCTGTGACCTTTGGGTAGATTTGCCATGTGTAGTTGCCCATGTGGCCATGGCCCAGCCTCCGTGAGAGGAGATATACACCTGTCTGAAGGAGCACCTAGCCACGTGGCATGGTGGGTCTGACAGGTTGGGAGCTTCTTGGGAAGGAGGGAAAGCAATGGCTGAGAGTGAGCTGGGGATTTTGTGTCCTGAAATCTGCTCTTGAAGCTCTCACAGGGCTGCCCCACATAACTTTCAAATTCTAAATATGATCCCTGAAAAGGCTACTAGACAGACAAACTAGGCATCCTAATGTTTAAATTGGCATTTGAGGGCTGAGTATGGAGAAATAAACACCTTGTGGTTTGATGGGGAAGAGAGAATGGGTATGTCTGGCTTCTTGTCTGGAATCAACACCGCCTAAGGGCTTTTAATCAGCACCTGCCCGCAGCGCCTGTGGCTACACCGGGGTATGTGTATGGACTTGACGTAGCTCTGCTCCACTACTCAGTAGAATTATAAACTTGGGCAAGATCCTCTCTAAGCCTCAGTTTCATTATTTATAATTAAAGGTATTGGATTTGAATGGTTCTTACTCAGGCTGCCACTCAGAATTACCTGGAGAACATAACATATCATATACCAAGACCAGGCCTCACCCAGAGAATTATTCACTGGCAGACAGGCAGAGACATATGTTTTTCAAGCCCCATAGGTGATTCTAATGGGCATCCAGGGTTGGGAAACACTGAAGCCCCCTCCAACTCTAGGATGCTGTGCCCTCAGGAGGGGGTGGTGCAGACAGTTGTTAAAAGCCTAGACTTGAGAGAGAGTTGAAGGCTCAAGTCCTGGTTCTGCACTCACTATCTGTGTGACTTTGGAGAGCTCATATAATCTCCAATAGTCCCATTCCTGCAATGGGAATAATGACAAATCTACCTCGTGGATCCTGTGAAGATTAAAGAAAACATGCATTATTGTCAGCAAACTGCCTGGCTAGGGCCATGCTCTACATGGTGTGTGCCTCACACACAGGTATTGGGGGCTATGATCAGCAGTCTTTGCAGCTGCTAACACAGAGCAACTAACACTCCCATCCAGATGGCTCATAAGTCATTCACTGGGCAATGAGCAGGCTTGGGCCGTTCCTCTCCTCCTCCTCCGGGGAAGCCCCAGGCCCCAAACTGAGCATCTGTGCTTTGCACATTCCACCCTATTCCTTAGGAGCTGTAAACTCCCCAGTAGCCATGACCTGGACCAGAAAGAAAGAGAAGACCCCCAGGGGGACCAGTCAGAGCTAAGCTCCTGGGAGTAGGAGGATGCTTCCAGCCTTGCTGGATAGGGAAAGACAAAGGGTGTGAGGGCAGGGAGTGTTTACAAACACAGAGGACAGAGGACAGAGGGGCAAGTATCAGCTAATGGACTTATTGTTTTATGGCCTTCAAGAGTTAGTAAAACCAGAGTCCAACATCTGATTAAAAAAAAAGAAAGAAAAAAAAAAAAGGTGTCAAAGCTAGTCTGGACAGCAGGTTTGCAACTGAACTCAGAATAATCTCCAGGAAGTCTGATGGCAATAGAGAAAAGGCACTTCTTCTCCCTGGGCCCCTGCCTTCACCTATCAGACAAGTTAAATGACTCTTTACTCAATTTAACTCTTTCCCTTTCAAACAGAATTCAAAACTGCCCCCTTCCGATCTAAATATCGATAAAAAGATTTTTATAACTTTGGAAAATGTTTAGGAGGTACTACTAGCTGGCAGAAAAAAGGAAAACAAATGTACCCCAAATCTACTTCACTCTAAAGAAAAAAGTACTCAGAAAATAAAATGTTACCATTTCTCCTCCCTTTCTTTTTCTCTGTGTACTCTCTTCTTCCACAATGAGCATATTTTACCAGAATAATCAGTGACAGTAAGGTAAAAAGATTTAGTGTGAGAAGAGTAAATCTTGTTCACTACAAGTGATCTTTGATTAGTCGTTCCTCTCTCTGCTCCCTCCTTGACCTGAATGCCCTTTCACTAAACCCACTGACTTCCCGAGAGTAGACTGTGTATGTTTCCTGAATCATTGCAGATTTTGTAAGATAGGGTTTTCCGTGTTTAAGAAGTATTGCTTCTTGAGGCAGGATTTGTTACGCCAAGAGAGCACTTAGCACATTTCCTCAATAAATGCTGTGGGAGGAAGGAAAGAAGACAGGAAGGGAGGGAGGACTGAACACATGAGTAACTACCAGCACCTTATTTTCCTGCTTCCTAACTGCTTGTATGTATTAGGACAAACCAAAAAGAAAGAACCAGAGTTAATTCTCATTTATCTATATTTTGGGAGAAAGAAGTAAGGATAACTAAAATTATTACTCTCGTCCAAATTTGCTTCTCCTATGGATATCTCCTAGGATAATGCTGATTTTGATTTTTCCCATTGCTCACTCAGGACTCTGTACACCCAGCAGCTCATATTGTTCAAGTATAAATGTGTATATATGCCCAAGATTGTGACGTTATGTCTCTATGTCATATTTGTGCACTGTCTCCAACAAAAGACCATGACTCATTGTAGCTAGGATTGCCAAATAAAAGAATCCCAGTTAAAACTGGATCTCGAAATACTTTGCTGGTGGAAGTAGGTTCCAAATATTGCATAGGGAATACTTATACTAAAATATGTATTGTTTACCAGAAATTTTACTGGGATTTCTGTCTTTTTATTTGCCAGATCTGGCAACCTCACTCATAGTAAGGGAGGAGACCACCCCTCATATTGTCTTATGTCCAATTTCTGCCTCCAAAGAAAGAAAAAGTAAAAACTAAAAGGCAGAAATGAAATACACAAGCAGACAGTCTGGCACCACACCCTGGGCCTGGTAGTTAAAGATCGACCCCTGACCTAACCGGTTATGTTATCTAGAGATTCCAGACATTGTATGCAAAAGCATTGTAAAAATCCCTGTCCTGTTCTGTTTTGTTCTGATTACCAGTGCATGCAGACCCCAGTCATGTACCCCCTGCTTGCTCAATTGATCACGACCCTCTCATGTGGACCCCCTTAGAGTTGTGAGCCCTTAAAAGGGACAGGAATTGCCCACTTGGGGAGCTCGGCTCTTGAGACAAGAGTCTTGCCGATGCTCCCGGCCGAATAAAGTCCTTCCTTTTTTAACTCGGTGTCTGAATAGTTTTGTCTGCAGCTCGTCCTGCTACATTTCTTGGTTCCCTGACCAGGAAGTGAGGTGATTGGCGGATGGTCGAGGCAGCTCCTTAGGCGGCTTAAGCCTGCCTTGTGGCACATCCCTGCGGTGGACTCTGACCAGCCCAAGCGACGCAGATCCTGAAAGCACATCCGGGTAGGCATTTGCCCCGGTGGGACACCTCGCCAGAGCAGTGTGTGGCAGGCCCCTGTGGAGGATCAACGCAATGACTGATCACCAAGAAGGAACTGGTACTTGGAGTCTGGGCATCTGAAACTTGGTAAGACTAGTCTTTGGAACTTGCCTACTCCGTTTGAATGTAAGCGTGGCCTGATCACCCACAGCATGCCTTTATCAGCACTTTGGTTTGGTTTTCAGTTTGGTTTTGACTTGGTTTGAATTGCTTGACAGGACCAGTCTTGGGAACTTGCCCACTCCATTTGAGTGGAAGCTTGGCCCGATCACCCACGGCATGCCTTTATTGGCACTTTGGTTTTGGTTTTGACCTGGTTTGAATTGCCTGACAGGACTGGTCTTGGGAACTTGCCTACTCCATTTGAGTGGAAGCATGGCCTGATCACCCATGGAATGCCTGTACCAGCACTTTGGTTTTTGTTTTTGACTTGACTTGGATTGCTTGATACTTTGGTTTTGTTTTTGACCTGACTTGGATTTCTGGATACTCTGATTTTGGTTTTGATTTTGGTTTGGTGTAAACTGCCAAAGTGTGCGTGTGCCCTTTTTACCCATTCTTTGTTTTGTGGTATGCGTGTGGTGTGAGTGTGGTGTTTTGTCTCAAAGAAGCATGAGTCAGGAACAAATAAGCCCACTCTACTAGGAACTATGTTGAAAAATTTCAAAAAAGCATTTAAAGGAGACTATGGAGTACTATGACACCAGGAAAACGTAAAACTTTATGTAAAATAGACTGGTCAGCATTAGAAGTAGGTTGGCCATCAGAAGGAAGCCTGGACAGGTTCCTTGTTTCAAAGGTATGGCACAAGGTAACCTGTAAAGCCAGGGCACCCAGACCAGTTCCCATAGGTAGATACTTGGTTACAGCTGGTTTTAGAGCTCTCCACAGTGGTTGAGAGAACTGCAGCATAAGTGAGGCAGAGAAAGAGAGAGAGACAGAGAGGAGAGAGAGAGAGGCAGAGAGGAGAAAGACAGAAGCAGAGAAAGAGAGGAAGAGACAGAGGCAAAAGGAAAGTCAAAGAGAGAAATAAAGAGAGAAAGAGAGATATATACAAGTAGTTAAGAAAAAAAAAGTGTACCCGATTCCTTTAAAAGCCACAGTAAATTTAAAACTTGTAATTGATAATTGAAGGTATTCTCCATAACCCTATAACACTCCAATACCACTTTGTTGTCAGTGTAAACAAGGGCATATCCCGAAAGCACTGAGGCCTTCCTATCAAAAATCCTTAACCCAGTAACCCGCAGATGGCCCAAGTGCATTCAATCTATAGTGGCAACTGCTTTGCTAACAGAAAAAAAAAGTAAAAAAATAACTTTCAGAGGAAACCTCATTGTGAGCACACCTCACTAGTTCAGTTCAGAACTATCCTAAATCAAAAAAGCAAAAAAGTAGCTTACTAACTCAAAAATCTTAAAGTATGCGGCTATTCTGTTAGAAAAAAAAAATCTATACCAATTCTAAGTTAATTTGGACAAAACAAGGTCTTATTAATAGCAAAGGATAGGCTGGGCATGGTGGCTCATGCCTGTAATCCCAACACTTTGGCAGGCTGAGGCAGGCAGATCACGAGGTCAGGAGATTGAGACCATCCTGGTTAACATGGTGAAACCCTGTCTCTACTAAAAATACAAAAAAAATTTGCCGTGCACGATGGTGGGTGCCTGTAGTCACAGCTGCTGGAAGGCTGAGGCAGGAGAATGGCGTGAACCCGGGAGGGAGAGCTTGCAGTGAGCCGAGATCATGCCACTGCACTCCAGCCTGGGAAACAGAGCAAGACTCCATCTCAAAAAAAAAATGAAAAAAAAAAAAAAAATACAAAGTATAATTAAAATCCCAAACTTACAAGGTTTTCAACAAAAGTAAAGTTTGCTAAAAGTTAACAGTGTAACATGTATTATACTAACTTCTATTCTGTGGCCTTAGTCTAGTCCACAGACATAAAAGAAATTTGCTTTGAAAAAGAATGGTTATCATCTTCAAAAAAAAAAGGAAAGAAGGGGGGACAGAATTTATGTAAAAAGAGTATTATATGGTAAATTCTTGTCCTGAAATAAATTAACTGGTTGTTTAAAGAAAGAAATAGTTGTAATAAATCAGAAAGTTGAAGCATGTCGAAGAATTGCCTGCGAAAGTTGTGAAAGAGAAAAATGTTATTAAAAAAAATGTATGCAAGAAATGTTGTATAATTTAAAAGTAACTAGGCCTCCTGAATGTAAAACTAAAAACAAACAAACAAAAAAAACCAAAAAAAACACAATAGTTTATGTGCAAGGTGTATAAGGAAAGTAAAATACACTTTTGGTAAAAAAATTATAAGGAGGCATGAGAATATAAATTTTTACCTACATTAAAAGGTTAAAAATATGTATATTTTGTTTTAAAGGTTTAATCAAGTTTTAAAATGTTAATTGGAAAGAAAATTCTGGGGATAAACATTGGCTAAAGTTAAAGGAATATCATCCAGTTTTTCTATAAACTGGACATTAAAATAAAAGCATAGCAGGTTTTTCTTAAAACACCAACCTGCTCTTTGGCAAAAATTATAAAAGGTTAAAGAGTCTATAAAATCTTACCTTATGGTCAAACATTACAAATTGGATAAATATGTCTACAAGGTTTTATTAAAATTAGGTTTAACATTAATAACACACTAATATAAAGGTAAAATTTAGCTTATCTGGTATAAAAATAATACAAAAAGCATTGTTAAATGTAAAATGGTATTTGGCTTTCTTTGGTTTAAAAACTAATAAAAATAGGTGCTAAAGGAAATTTCTCAGTAAAAAGGCACTAAGGACTATAAAGTCCACTGCCAAGGTCCCTACATTTAAAACAAAAGTTCAATTTCTTAAAAATTATATACTTGGTTTATCTTCCACTTTCCTTTCCCTCAAAAACTAAAAGTCTTTTAGCACATGAACCACCCCTAGAAATTCCAGTAAACCAGCACTAGCCTGAAGATCACGTTCTCATCAAAGGGTGGAAAGAAGAAAAATTCAAGCCAGCCTGGGAAGGACCCTACCTTGTGCTGCTAACCACCAAGACTGCTGTTCGTACAGCAAAAAAAGGGATGGACTCATCACACCTGAGTCAAGAAAGCACCACCCCCTCCAGAGTCGTGGGCCATAGTCCCAGGGGAAAACCCTACCAAACTAAAGCTAGGAAAAATTTAACTCTTTTCATCTATTCTATTACTCTTTCTTCTTTCCTTGTTCTATTGCTGACCATCTAGTTATTAACATAACCAAGTCAATTTCGCCTCAAATTATGCTTGCCTTGTTGTACCCTGTGGAGACTTGCCAAGTCAAAAACAGCTTTCTACTTCAGAAAAGTACTCTGTCCCTCCTGACTCTCCTCAGACTGGGCATTAGTAAAGTAGGACCACTTAATGCGGGGAGATTTCGATAAAGACCCTAGTGCCAATCTGGAGTTTTGCCCCCAATGTAGAGCTTTTATACAGTAGTTGGTCCAACATTCTGTGGACCACTAAAGAGCAAGGATGAACTGCACCAACTGGTTTTTGTAATTTCCTAAAATCATACATTCATTTTACAAGAGGATCATAGAAGTTAAAGACTTAAAACAAACTTTAGCAATTAAGACAGGATACCAAGATGCAAATGCCTGGTTAAAATGGATCAAATATTCCATCTGCATGTTAAACAAAAGCAATTGTTATGCTTGTGCACATGGCAGGCCAGAGACCCAGATTGTCCCCCTTCCACTAAGATGGTGTTCCAGTTGACCAGGCATAGGCTGCACGGTAGCTCTTTTCCAGGATTCTACAGCCTGGAGTAATAAGTCATACCAAGCTCTGTCTGCTATATCCCAAAGTCTGGCACTCTGCGAGTTAGCCCCTGAGGGCCATCCAGCTTCCATCTTCTGACACTAAGTTCACTTTGTGTCTCTCACAACAGGGAGGAAACTTAGCATTCTTGGGAAACCTGAAAGGATGCAGTGAGCTTAAGAATTTTCAAGAGCTTATCAATCAGTCAGCCCTTGTTCATCCCTGAGTGGATGTGTGGTGGTATTGTGGTGGACCTTTACTGGGCACCCTGCCGAATAACTAGAGTGGCACTTGTGCTTTAGCCCATTTGGCTATCCCTTTCACCCTGGCTTTTCGTCAACCAGAGGGAGAAAGAGACATTGTAAAGCGAGAGAGGCCCCTTATGGGTCTTTCAACTCTCACATCTATTTAGATGCAATTGGAGCCCTGCAAGGAATACCAGATCAATTTAAAGCTTGAAACCAAATAGCGACAAGATTTAAGTCAATATTTTAGTGGGTGACAGTTAATAAAAATATAGATTAGATAAACTACATCTATTACAACCAACAGCAACAAGATTTTCATAAGAAAAAAAAAAGAAAAAAACTCATGTTGGCCTCAGTCCTGGGGCTACCTGACCTGACAAAACCCTTTACACCCTATGTGTCAGGAAAAAAAATGGCAGTTGGAGTTTTAACCCAGACTGTAGGGCCCTGACCAAGGCAACTCTAACTCTTGGGCAAAACCTAAAGTCCCTCCATGCTGTGGTGGCTTTAATAAATACTAAAGGATATAATTAGCTAACGAATGCTAGACTAACTGGATACCAAAGCTTGCTCTGTGAAAATCCTCGCATAACCATTGAAGTTTACAATACCCTAAACCCCGCCACCTTGCTCCTGGTATCAGAGAGCCCAGTTGAACATAACTGTGTAGAGGTATTTGACTCAGTTTATTCTAGTAGGTCCAACCTCCAAGACCATCGTTAAACATCAGTAGACTGGGAGCTGTACGTGGATTGGAGCAGCTTCGCCAACCCCTGCAAAGTGACTCTGAAGAAGACGACAAGCCCTGCTCCAGTCACACCCAGAAGCTGACTGGTCCACACACGGCCGAAGCATGAGGAAACTCATTAGGGGACTCATTTTCCTTAAAATTTGGACTTGTACAGTAAGGACTTCAACTGACCTTCCTTAGACTGAGGGCTGTTCCCAGTGTATACATCAAGTCACTTAGGTAGGACAAAAGGTTGCTATGGTCCTATTATTTTACTGTTATTATAAGTGTACTGGAACTCTAAAAAGAACTTGTT